TGTGTGTGTGTGTGTGTGTGTGTGTGTGTGTGTGTGTGTGTGTGTGTAAGCGTGTAAGCCAGAGATGCCTCAGGTGCTATCCATGATGGGGTTTGCTCTTTTTCTTTGAAATAGGGTCTCACCATTTAGCCCTGGCTGTCCTGGAACACTGGGGACCAGACTGGCCTTAAACTCATAGAGACCCACGTACCTCTGCCTCCTGAGAGAAGCTGGATTTAAGGTGTGCTTCCCTAAGCCGCCCCACCTTGGTTTTTTTGAAACAGGATTTTTCCTTGATTAGACAAGGCTGACAGCTTAGAGAGCCCAGGGATCCTCCTGTCTCTGCCTCCTCAGCACTGCTTACAAACTAATGCCACCACCCTAGACTTTTGACATGGGTTCTGAGAATTAAACTTAGGTCCTCATGCTTCTGTGGTAGGCAAGCACTTCCAGTAAACTGTCTCCTGTTTTGGGGTTTGTATAGTTTTTTTTGTTCATTTGTTTGTTTTACTAGTACGTGAGATTGAGTCTATTTTATATATAATTTATGAGAAGGTCATTGCTTCTTTTCTTTAATTGAGTCACTGTAAGTTATTGGTAACAGTACTCTGCACTTTCTCTGTCAAATTAAAGAGCCCAAGCACCTACCAGGTGTGGCATTTTACATGACTTTAATCCCAGCATTCAAGAGGCAGGGCCAGGTGGATCTCTGAGTTCAAGGCCAGCCTAGTCTACATAGTGAGTTCCAGGACAGCCATGGTTACATAAAAATCCTGTCTTGAAAAACATTTTTAAAAAAAGAAGACGATAATGATGATAAAGAAGAAATATGCTCAATAGACAAGTCAATCAAACATAAATGTGTAAATTATGAAATAATTATGGAGTAAACCACTTTTGTTAGTACTTTGAATCAAGGGCCTAACATTAGGAGCTGCAGAGCTTGTTCAGGGGTTAAAACTCCGGTAGACTTCCAGAGAACCCAGATTTGATTCTCAACACCCACATGAGAGCTGACAGTCATCTGTAACTCCAGTTCCAGGGATCCAGCATCCCCTTCGGGCTGCCAGGTTGTATGCACATGCAAGCAAAATGCCCTACACATTAGGCGCATTACCAATGCTGCCAGAAGCCCTGTGATGGCATGTGCTTTATTCTGTCTGGAGAAGTCTTCTGAGCTGTTCCAGGCACTCTGCTGTTTCCTTAAATTTGAAGCCAGGAGTATTTTCAAAATGAACATTTAGGTTTTTTTGTTTCGTTTTGTTTTGTTTTTCAAAGATACGTAATTATGTTCTAAAGGACTGCGTAAGTGGGTTAGCCGAGGTCTGTCTTAGACTCTGTGGTAAAGGGGAAGTGCATCTGTAATCAGGGAAGTGGCTCACTTGCTGCCTCCACTTTGGCCTTTAATAATGTGTATGTTGTAGTTTTGCTGTATGTGATCCCAGCATGGAATATATTTAACTGAATTCTTTTTCCCTTTAGTTACGGCCACCACAACCTCCTGTGTACCTCTTTGTGTTTGATGTATCTCACAACGCAATAGAAACTGGATACTTGAATTCAGTTTGCCAGAGTTTGTTAGACAATCTGGATCTGTAAGTGTCTTAATTCAGCTTAATTTGAAATAGATAGTGTCTTCAAAATGAACAATTGGGTTTTTGGGGGTTCGTTTTTTGTTTTTGTTTTTTTGGTAGCCCTGGCTATCCTGGAACTCAATCTGTAGAGCAGGCTGGCCTTGAACTCAAAGATCTGTCTGCCTCTACTTCCCAAGTACTGGAATTAAAGGCACACTCCACAACCAATCAGCCACAATTAGTTTTGTTTGTTTGTTTGTTTGTTTTTTAAGGTACATAATTGTGTTCTAAAGGACCACTTAAATGTACTAGCTTAGGCTGTCTTAGAACCTAGGGTAAGTGGGAAGGGGAATCTGAGGAGCCCCTGTTACCTGTCACCTTCAACATGCTGTTTTTGCTTCATGTATTCCTCTTTTCACACACCTTTTCCACTTGACCATGTTCAAGCCAATCTCAGCCATCATGTCATGTTACCTTTAACTACCCCAAGGCCTTTTAAGTATAAGAATATTATTCTGTGGTCAAGGTAGGCCTGAGTCAGGCTGCCCTTACACTTTCAGCTGTCTTCTTGCCTCAGATTACAGAATGCTGGGATTACAGGCATGAGCCACTGTGCCTAGAACTCCTGGTTCTTTTTTTTTTTTTTTCCTTAATTACTACTTGTTTCAACCAATATTGCATTGTAGGCTTGCTGGAGTAAAAGTTCAAATAGTACACAGGTGCTGCATTTGGTTGTCATAGTTTGACTCTTAAAATTGCTATGTTTTTAATGTTATATACACAGGAAAGAACTTGCAAATATTAGTGTGACCTTTCAGTATAAGAAATACATAGGCCAGATTTCACCACAAACTGAGTAACTCCTTCACATTGGCCAAAAGGCCATTCTTGCTCTGTCTATAGTGGTATCTCCTAGTCTAGCTCTAATGGGGATTGTATATGGCTGAGAGGTCCATTAAGTCACCAAGCATGGAAAAGGCTGGAAACTAGTTTCTTTTTCACCTTGGAATTTGTTGTATATGTTAGGTCCTTTAAAAGGTGCTTTTGTTTCTCTTTGTTCTTAAAGACATTGAATAATATAAAAGGTTTATATATTGTTTTAAATAGATGCAAAAGCTAAATTTATATTGTGTTTTAATTTTCTTCATTTGAAATTTATTTTTTTAATGTATGTATGAGTGTTTGCCTGCATGGATACATGTGCAGCACATGTGGGCCTGGTGCCAGGTCAGAAGAGAACGCTCAGTCTTCTGGAGCTGGAGTTACAGACAGTTGTGAGCTGCACTGTGAGTGCAAGAACAGCCAGTGCTCTTAACCACTGAGCCATCTCTGCAGCCTCTATAATGCACTTTGAAATGCTATATATAATTTTTGAAGCATTCTTTTCCCTGTGGTATTGGAGAGTGCTCCCAGAGCCCTACACCTGTCTACCAAGCTCTCTACCACCGAGCTGAATCCCCTTAAGCATTCTTTATAAAATAATTTGAATTCGAGCCCAGTTTTGTACAGATTTGCCAAGTTTTTAAAAGACTTACATATACCAAGAAATTATTTATAACTTTATATAGAAGCAGTTGATTTTAAACTGCCAAAGTATTGCTGTTTTTTGTTGATTATTTCATTTTTCACTTGAGTATGTTTGAGTAAACATTGTAAACATAAACACCTGCCTATTCTGGGCCACTTTGTGTACTATTCCTTTGGATGGTTACATGACACTTAGCAGAGTGTGTGTGTGCGTGTGTGTGTACATTGATTAAAACTTTCTTGTGAATTTGCTTCTAGGCTTCCTGGCAACACTAGGACAAAAATCGGTTTCATAACATTTGATAGCACTATCCATTTCTACAGTCTTCAGGAAGGTCTCTCCCAGCCGCAGATGCTAATAGTTTCAGATATTGACGGTACGTGTTAAATGCTTAAACTCACTGAACTGCCTGGAGAATTTTCCTTTTCAGAAATGTTTCCTGAGTGTTTGGTGAATCAGGAAGATATGGTATGACTCTAGTACAATAAAGAAAAATCTTTGATTTTTAGAGCTCAAACCATATGAATAGCCCAGACTGGGCTTAAACTTTTGTTCCAGCCTGCCAACCTGAAGGGCCAAGCTGAAGGGAAGTCTTGAGTAGAAAAAAATCATTAGATTGATAGAATTGCCAGAGTCTTTAAATCCAGTCTCTGATTCTGTCGGAAACCAAAAGGGTTATGAAGGTGAAATGATGTCTGAGCAAGAAAACAAAGACAGGTTGATGTTAGAGCCTGCGGGAGATGTAGCAGTATCTCTCCTTTGCTTACCATGTGTGCGTTAGGAAAGTTCCTGAGGGCTGTGGTGTGGCTGTGCAGGAGATTGCCTACCTGTGCCACACAAACGACGAAGGACCTGAGTATTGAATGAGAAGAAAAATAGTCATTGAAGCTCAAAATACACCCTAGGGAAACAGTTGATTTACTGTGCCAAGGCTATTCAATGAGAGAAAACTGGACACACAAAAGATTGAGGTTGTCCTGTTTATAAAGAAAATCAAGTAGGGGCTGGAGAGATGGCTCAGAGGCTAACAGCACTGGCTGCTCTTCCAGAGGTCCTGAGTTCAATTCCCAGCAACCACATGGTGGCTCACAGCCATCTATAATGAGAGCTAGTGCCCTCTTCTGGCATGTAGGTGTACATGCAGACAGAACATTGTATAAACTAAATAAATCTTAAAAAGAAAACCACACTTAATTAAAAAGAAAAGGAAATAAAATTAAGTAAAGCAGATGTGGTGACACATGCTTGTAATCCCAGCACAGAGAGGGAAGAGGCAGGAGACTCACTACACTCCGACTACAGTCTAAGGTCAGTCTCGTCTACACTGTGAGTGCTAGGGCAGCCAGGGGCAGTAGTGAAGCCTGTCACAAAAACACACACACACAAAAAGAAAGAGTAAACTTAAGACTTACAAGTGCCTCCCAGCATTCAGAGGGGCAAAGGCAGGTGGATCTCTTAGTTTGAGGCCAGCCTTGTCTACAAAGTGAGTCCAGGACAGCCAAAGCTACACAGAGAAACCCTGTCTTCAAAAAACAAACAAAAGAAATTAAATTAAAAGTATTAAACATGGAGGAAATCATCACAAGATTGTATTCGACAGTGGCTTCCTACAAGTAACACCCAAAACACAGGCAATTAGAGGAAAAAGCAAAAATGCATAATTGGTTTTCATCACTATTAAAAGCTTTTACTGGGCTGGCAAGTTGGCAAACTGGGTAAAGATGCTTGTCTTTAGAGAGGTTTGTCACATAAGCCACCTGACCTGAGCTTGGTATCTGGAACCATATAAAAGCAGATGGAAAAACTGGACTCCTGCAGGCTGTCTCCTGAACCACATGCACACTGTGCCTCTCCGAGACTGCACACAGACAAACAAGTAATCAAATTGATAGCTTTTGCCGAGAGGCTGGAGAGGCTTGGTGAGTCTGACCTTCATGGATCCCTGAGTTTAAGCCCCACACCACATAAAACCATGCATAGTAAACCTAAGAGTTCAAAATATGCCGGACAGTGGTGGTGCCTGTAATTCCAGCACTTGGAGAGTGCTGGATCACTGTGAGTTCCAGGCCAGCTGGGGCTACACAGTAAAGCCCTATCTTAAAAAAATAAAAGGCAGGAGGATCCAAGCTCAAGCTCCTCCTCAGCTACGTGAGAGAGTGCGACAGCCTGAACTACGTGAGACCATGTCTTAAAAACAAACTTGATGAGTTTGGTAGCATATACTTTTGGAGAGGTATAGAAATTGGAGGCCAGCCTGAAGTACACAGTAAAACCCTGTCTTAAAGGTTTTGTGTCAGGGCTGGAGAGATGGCTCAGAGGTTAAGAGCACTGGCTGCTCTTCCAGAGGTCATGAGTTCTATGAGTTCTATGTGGTCCTAGCAACCACATTGTGGCTCACAACCATCTATAATGAAATCTGATGCCCTCTTCTGACATGCAGGTGTACATGCAAACACACATTGTATACATAATAAATAAACAATCTTTAAAAAAAAAAAAGGTTTTGTGTCTGGGGAGGTAAGTGCTAGAGTGCTCACTTCATGTATGCAAGGCCCTGGGTTTGATCCTAGTACTGCAAAGGAAAAATAAAATACCAGTTTACCAGAGAATATTCTACAAACAGTGAAAAACAGCCATAGGGCAGAAGAAAATACTTGTAATTACGTATCTGATAATGATTTCTTAGAATTTTATTTATTTTATCCATGTGTACATGTCTCTGTCTGCTGGTGTCAGCAGGGCCAGAAGAGGTAACTGGCTTCCCTGAAGTTGGAGTTACAGGCATTGTAAGCTCCTGACATAGGTGCTGGGATTTGAAGTAGCATTTCTCTGGAAAAACAAGTGTTCCTAACTAATGAGCCATAGCTCCAGCCCTAATAATGAGTTTAATGTGGAGAACACATTAAATATTTGTTTTTATAGTGTTTTATAAGCTGGACATGGCAGTGCATATATGTGAGCTCAGCACTAGGGAGACAGAAGCAAAAACAAACAAACAAAAAAATGATCCATGCAGGTCTGGGCTACTTAGTAAGACCCTGTCTGAGAACCAAATGTGGGGCTAAGGAGGTAGCTGTCAGTAAGTTCTTGCTGTGCAAGCCGAGGGCCTGACTTCCACCTCTAGAACCCACATAGAAGCTTCAGATGTAGTAGTATGCTTGGTGCTTGAAGGCAGGGTCAGGCAGCTCCCTGGGCCTCACTGGCCAACCAGTCTAGCCTAGTTCCTGAGCTCCAAGCCAATGAAAGATCTCGTTTCAAAGGAAGTGGTTGGCCTTTCTGACGATGCTACTCAAGGCTGTCTTTTGGCCTCCCCATGCACTCGTATACACAGCACCTGGGCATTAAAAATTAAACAAAAACAAACAAAACACCATCAAATGAGTAAATAAAGAGTGAATATTCTGAGAGGCTCACCTGAAATGATCAGAGCACCTTCTGGTTTACCTGCTTTTGTAGTCCCATTAGTAGGGACACTGGTGTGGAATTTCCTTTATGAAGAAGCACCAGGGTTTAAAATGACAAAAATATTAGTAAACTATTACTTCAGATAAAAACAAAGCATTTTTGTATGTTCTGTTAACTGGTACCTGCAAGAGGCCAGAAGATGGTACTGGATCCTCTAGAAGATCAGCTAGTGGTCTTACCCTACACTGACCCATCTCCAACCCCAAAGCTGTCTTTGTCATTTTAAAAATGAGTCTTTGTCCAACATAGTAACCACACAGCTTTAATAAAGCACGTGGGAGGCAGAGGCAGGTGGACCGTGTAAATTTGAGGTCAACCTGTTATATTTTAAGACTTTCAAGGCTACACAGTGAAATCCTATCTCAAAAAAGATAAATAAATAATAAAATGAATGTTTCTTTATTCTTTCAGATGTTTTTATACCCATGCCAGAAAACTTACTAGTAAACTTAAATGAAAGTAAAGAGGTAAGGCACACTTTTCTACCTGCCATGCTTAATTTTAACACTGAGTGTTTATTTCTGAAAGGAACTTTAAATTTTGCTTCTCTTTGATGTTTTTAGGCTGTGTAGCATTTTCTATCTACTTCTAATTTAAGTTCATTAGATGGACAGTTCTTGAGATCAGTCTTGTACTGATGTTTTTACTCTAAGGCAGCAGGTTCTCTGTAGTGGAGCAGATGACAAGGCTCTTCCAGAAGGAAGACACCTGGAGGAGACCTGTGCTGCAGGCCAGGCCGTGTGGGGAGAGGGAGGGTTGCTGAAAGAACGCTGCTGGTCGCTGCACGGAAGCACATAGCCAGGCTGCTCTCAGTGCTTTTGCTTTTCTGATTCACAGAGTGTCATTGGGTCAGTTCAGAAGAAACTCTTATAACCTGCCTGGAAATTGCCATGACATAATACAGTGAGAGGTGAACAGAATGTGTCTGAAGGGGGGATGTTGTCTACCCTGTACCTGCATATATGCCATAGGGTAACATTTAACTAGCAAGTCTGTGGTCTCCACTGTTGTCAGTGGGGACTGTGCTGTGGCACAAAGTATTTTTTCCATTAATTTTCTTTTATCTGTACAACCTGACTTAAATAGGCAGTTGGTTTTGACTTTGTTTTTCTTTTGTAGTAATACTAGTTGGCATCGTTACTGGATATCTTAGATTTTACAACAGGAAAGAGTTAAACTCACTTTGGAACTTTAAAAAAAAAAAAAGTATGTAGAGGTGATGGAGAAAGCCATGTTTCATGGCATTAAAATAGATAAATTTCTAAGTTATGGTTCTTTTGCATATATTCTGGACTTACAGTCTTGCTGGACTATTGCATGTGCAAGAACTGTAAGGCCTTGGATTTGATGTCTTGCTTGCCAATTTATAATGTTTACTTAAAATGGCTTTCTTGTCATTGACCAACTTCATTGTTTACTGTAGTGTCCATAGATTCTCTGACCATCATCATGATTCAGTGTCCTGTCTATTGTATTAAATAATGGTTTATTGTGAAAAAAAATTTCATTGTAACATTCTCCAGTTTTCTTGCTTTATTTTACAAGCTTGTGCAAGATTTACTGAAAACTTTGCCACAAATGTTTACTAAGACACTGGAGACTCAGAGTGCCTTGGGTCCTGCACTTCAGGCTGCATTTAAGCTGATTTCACCAACTGGTGGTCGAATATCTGTCTTCCAAACACAACTCCCAACGCTTGGTGTGGGAGCCCTGAAACCACGAGAGGAACCCAACCAAAGGTCATCTGCTAAGGTTAGACTACCAAGTGTATGGCCTAGCTGTACTGGTGCTTTGACCGGAGAGCTTGTTTTCCATTTGTTTGTTTTATTTTAATGTCAGCTGTGGGGAGTGAGCAAAGGCTTTCACTTCTATGTGCGCGTAGCTATTATTTTTCTACGCCTGCCTGATGCATCTGTGCTTTATTAGCTTTAATAGTTTAGGCTGTTACAAATCAACCTGGCTTTGATGAAAGAGTCTGGAAGACTTAAGAGAATCCATTTACTAGGGGTAAAGTGGAACCAAAATGACCACTAGAAATAGTCGTAATTTGGAGCAGTTGTGGCACACGCACTCGGGAGGCAGAGGCAGGTGGAGCTCCATGAGTTCGAGGCCAGCCTGGTCTACAGAGTGAGTTCTAGGACAGGCCTAGGGGTACTATACAGAGAAGAGGAAGGAAGGAAAAGAAATAGTTATAATTTGGTAGACACAGCCTAACAGCTGGGGATTGCTTTTGACCTCCTTTTGTATGACAGTTAGGATTTCCCAAAAGATACGAGGAAAGCGGGTCTACCACATAGCTCCATGTCATTCCTGGCCAGACAACCTAAGTTCTCCTGCCTCTGAGACAGGTTGCACTTCGGGAACTGATTTGTTACAGTCTGGGTTTTTTATATATGAAGAGAAGATGGTACTAAGGCTCAACTCTTCGAGTAGTTGAAAAGACTGAATATGTGCCATGTGTGAATTGTTAGCATGTCATCAGATGGAGCGTTTGTTAGGCTAAGTTAAAATAATAATTACCTTTGTCTTTAAGCGTAATTATTATTACAAAATTAATGTAGTAAAGGTTTTTCTTTTCTTTCATTCTTCTTTTTTTGAAGTATTTCTTTTTAATAGTAAACAGAATAAACATAAACCCTCAGAAAGTACTTTAACACTGTAGTGTACCTAAGTGTGTATTTTTTTTTTTTGATGAATTAAGATTTTTCTCTTTATATTCTACAATTAATAGGAAATACACCTGACACCATCCACTGACTTCTATAAGAAATTAGCCTTGGACTGTTCTGGCCAGCAGGCAGCTGTTGACTTATTCCTTCTCAGTGGACAGTATTCTGATTTGGCTTCTCTAGGTATGTTCTTGCCTTTCTTCCCTTTTTGGGGGACAAAGTCTCAGATAGCCCAGGCTGACCTTGAACTTCCTCTGGGTCCCAGGATGACCTTGGGCTCCTGATTCTCCTGCTACCATCTCAAGTGCTGGAATTATAGGCTTGTGCTGTCACATCCAGCAGTGAGTTCTTTTTCATGATTTTTTTTTTTTTTTCTTAAATGAGTGTCAAAATGATGTTGTTATGACAGTGTTCTAAATAGAGAGCTGGGTAAAAATGAGCTTTATTCTTTGGAAAAGTTAATTGTATTCATTGTTGTCATTATTTTAGTTTCCTTTTTTTTTTTTTTTTTTCGAGACAGGGTTTCTGTGTGTAGCATTGGCTTCTGAGTGCTGAGATTACAGGCGTGCACCACCACACCTGGCTAGTTTTCTCTTTTTTCTTAATTAATTTATTTATGTGTGTATATGTGGAGATCAGAAGACAACACACAAGAGTTGACTCTCCTACTGTGTGAATCTAGGGGGCAAGCCCAGGCTGTGGTTTCGAGGACCCGCTGAATCATCATTCTGGCCCTGTTTATTTATTTTTTTCTTTATTTTCCTGTTTTTGAAATGGGGTCTTGCTCTGTTTCCCAGGATGGTCTCCAAACCTTGGATTCAGTAATAATTACTCCTCATTCTCCATTGTAATATACCCCAACCTCTCAAATAGCTGAAACCATAGGCATGTGCCACCAAGACTGACCACACTGCTGATAGTCAGTTTAATCAACTAAAACCTGATATTCTTCTACTCTTTTTGTTGTTATTGTTTTGATTTTTCAAGACAAGGTTTCTCTGTATATCCCTGGCTGTCCTGAAACTCACTCTATAGACCAGGCTGGCCTTGAACTTACAAGAGATTCACCTGCCTCTGTCTAGAGTGCTAGGGATTAAAGGTGTGTGCCACCACCATCTTTATTTTTTTTTTATTTTTATTTTTATTTTTTTTTGGAGAGACAGTGTCTCTCTACATATCCCTGGCTATCCTGGAATTCACTATGTAGACCAGGCCACCCCTTCCCCAAACTCACAGAGGTCTACTTGCTTCTGCCTCCCAAGTGCTGGAGGTAAAATCAAATACCGTTACCTGGCATTCTACTCTTAATTTAGTGTAAGGGAAGTAGAGAAATTGCTTGCTATAAACCACTGTTATAAAGGAGTACAATGCTCTTTTTGACATTACCTTGAGAAGTTAGAGAAAAATGTGTGCAGTTACTTTGGTATGAAGTATTAGTAGTTACTATTTTTAAAAGAATGTATTGGGATGCTGAGGCATGAGGCTTGTGTATGTGTGTTTGTGTAATACAACTCAAGTTATATTGCCCAATTGTGGCTCACAACTGCCTATAACTTCAGCTCTAGAGAATTTGATGCCTCTGGCCTCTGTAGGTATCTGTACTCCTGTATACAAACCCAGCACCTAGTTTAAAATAATAACAGTAAATCTTTAAAACTTGGAAATATATAAATATATATAATGTATTCACACACACACACACACACACACACACACACACACACACACGAGTGAATGAAGCAGTAAATAAAAGGAGTGTGTGCTCTCTTCCAGGCTGTATTTCTCGGTACTCAGCAGGCAGTGTCTATTACTATCCCTCGTACCATCATCAGCATAATCCAGTCCAAGTACAGAAATTACAGAAGGAACTACAGCGGTACCTCACTCGGAAGATTGGATTTGAGGCAGTCATGAGGATCCGGTGTACCAAAGGTGGGAACACTTAATTGCCCTCGTGGGGGTACATGGTGTTTTTTGTTTTATTACACCAATAAGAATATGTATCTTACAGGATTTACCCTGCAAAAATACATTACTGAGTTTTAGAATGTGAAATTATACATTATGCAATTAAAGGGAAGAAATTATTTAAAAACAGAGAACATTGGGGCTGACTTGGCACTCAAGAGCACATCCTGCTCTTACAAATGACCCAAGTTAGGTTAGCAGCGCCTACACTGTGCCTTACAACTACCTGTAACTCTAGTTCCAGGGGATCTGATGCCTCTGCCCTCGGTAGGTTACCTGCATTCATGTGCACAGACCCATACACAGAAACACACATGCACATTGTTTAAAATAATAACAATCTCTAGTGGCCGGAAAGATGGCTCAGAGATTAAAGGCTGTTCTTCTAAAGGTCCTGAGTTCAGTTCCCAGCATCCACATGGTGGCTCAACCATCTGTAATGGGATCTGGTGCCCTCTTCTGGCCTGCAGGCACACATGCAGGCAGAATACTGTATAAATAATAAGTCTGAAAAAAATCTCTTTAAAAATGGGAAATAACATGAATATTTAAAACTATTGAACTGTGTACATTAAAATGGCAAATTTTATGCTATGTGAGTTATTTCCATTTTTAAAAAAAAGTACCACATCTTCAAAGAAAATGCATGGCTGTGCCAGTGTGTGTGTCTGTGTCTGTTTGTGTATCAACTAAATATAGACTCAAAATGCTGGTACCAGAGAGATGGATCAGCAGGTAAAGGACCTGCTGCCCAGCCTGATAACCTGATTTCAATCCCTAGGACATACACAGGGGAAGAAGAGAGCCAGCTCCCATATGTTGTGCTTTGACCTCAACATGTATGTGAATTGTGGTCACAGGTGTCTCTCTTGCCTGAATTTAAGTGAATAAATAGAACAAAGATAAACTTGTAAAATTAAAATAAAATGCTGGTATATACTGCTAATGTCCTCCCAAAAGGTTTCTGAAAATTTGCATCCCTATTATCTTAAGGAGAGGCCCAGTGCCCCTCAGTATCACTGAGTATGTGTCTTCTCTAAGCTGTTTTACTCTCTGATGAGTGACTAGAATAAAATAGGAATATTTGTAAATAAGCACATAACAATCATGGTGATGATTTGTTTTTTATTCTAGGTCTTTCCATTCATACTTTCCATGGGAACTTCTTTGTCCGTTCTACAGACTTACTGTCTCTTCCCAATGTCAACCCAGATGCTGGGTATGCTGTTCAGATGTCAGTAGAAGAAAGTCTTACTGACACTCAGCTGGTTTCTTTTCAGTCAGCACTCTTATATACATCAAGTAAAGGTAAGTGTTTGTATTTATTATCTCTCTTTCTCTCTCTCTCTCTCTCTCTCTCACACACACACACACACACACACGCTACCTACCCTCTTGAATTTTTTGAGACAGGGTCTCTGTAGCTCTGCTCTGGCTGGCCTGGAACTAGCTGTGTAGACTAGGCTAGCCTAAGACTCACAGAGATTCACCTGCCTATGTCTCCCAAGTCCTGGGATCAAAGGCATGTACCACTACACTCAGCTGAGACCTTTCAACATATGTGTAAGTGTACAGGACATGACTAAGCAGAGTGTTAGGATCAAGTAAACTTTCTAGTGTGCTGTCTATGGCTTATGGTACTCTTTTTCTAATTTCTAGTTTCTGTTGAATGGACAGATTATTTGTAACCATAAAAATCTTACTGCTCTTCTTGTTTAGTCAAGAGATTTGTCTTTGGGGCTGGAGAGATGGCTCAGAGGTTAAGAGCACTGGCTGCTCTTCCAGAGGTCAGAAGTTCAATTCCCAGGAACCACATGGTGGCTCACAACCATCTATAATGAAATCTGGTGTCCTCTTCTGGTGTGCAGGTGTACATGCAGACAGAACATTGTATATATAATAAATAAATACATCTTTTTTTTTTTTTTTAAGTGAAATCTGTATTTTCCTAAATCATTTTGTTTTAAAAGAAATGTGTTTTAGCTCTCGCACTCAGGAGTCAGAAGCAGGTAGATCTTTGTGAGTTTTTTCTTTTTCCTTTCTTTCTTTTTGACACACTGTATATAGAGACAGCACACTATGCTGGCCTTGAACTTAAGCTCCTCAGGTTCCCAAGTACTGGCCTTATAGGCATACACTACTCCCAGGAACAGATATTTATCAATGATCAGACATTCTGGTTTAAAAGAAATTCTCTTTCCTGGCAGTGGTGGTGCACGCCTTTAATCCCAGTACTTGGGAGGCAGAGTCAGGCAGGCAATCTCTGTGTGTTCCAGGCCAGCCTCACCTGTACAGAGAAACCCTGTCTTGAAAAAACAAATGAATGAATTGAATGAATGAATGAATGAATAAATCTTTTCTAAAGGTAGGGGATTTGTTAAGCCAGACATAGTACCTCTCTACTCTTAACATTCAGACAGCTGAGGAAGTAGGATTATGAGTTGGAGGCCTGCCTGGGCCATATCTTGATCCTGTTCAGGAGGAGGAGAGAGAGAGAAAGTAGCATATTATCATGTCAACTATAATTTCTGCTGTCTATTTACTAATAACTTGAACAGGAGGTGTTTCGTAGTAAAAATATAAAACGTGAAAAGAAAATTTAAGATTTAGTTACCTTGTTTTTTTTGGTCTTTTTGTTATTTTGTCTTTTTTTTTTTTTCCAGAGCTGAGGACCGAACCCAGGGCCTTGCGCTTGCTAGGCAAGCGCTCTACCACTGAGCTAAATCCCCAACCCCGAAAATTTAAGATTTATTTATTTTATATATACAAATGCTCTTTCTGCTTGTACACCTACATGCCAGAAGAGGGCATCAAATGATGTTATAGATGGTTGTGAGTCACCATGTGGTTTCAAAGAATTGAACTCTTAACCACTGAGCCATCTCTCCAGCACCTGAAATTTTTTTCTGGTGCTTTCTGGAGTATTCTGCTTTCTATGTGACCTCCTTGGTTCTAAGTTTAAAAAGAAGTGATTTTAGTACCTGGCAAGGTGGCTCAGCAAGTAAAAGTGTCTGTCACCAAGCCTAATGACTTAAATTTGATCTCTGGAATGCACGTGGTGAGAGAGCCAACTCAAAGACATTATCCTCTGACCTCCACGCATAAAAGGAAAAAGAATAAGTGACTTTAAGTTAACCTTTTTTTTTTTTTTTAATAGCTTTTCTGTTTTCTTCCTAAGGTGAAAGAAGAATTCGTGTCCATACTTTATGTTTGCCAGTAGTTTCCACCCTTAATGAAGTCTTTCTTGGAGCTGACGTTCAAGCAATTTCAGGGTTATTGGCCAACATGGGTAAGAATTGTGACCACTTTAGGTATCTTACACATCATACCATAATTAAGCACATACACAATTTTTGTTTTACCTGAAGTTGTTACCTTAGAGGTTTTGACATTTGAGTGCTTGTGTGTATTTCAACAAAGAGATCTGCAGTTCATGTGCCTATTTTGCTTGTGTAAACAGTTTTATTGAGGCATAATTGTGTATTATAGGAATTTCAGCCATTTTAATTGTATAATTCTTTTTTAATATGCTTACAGAATTGTGCAGCCATTGTCACAGTCTACTTTCAGAACATTTTTATCACCCCAAAGAATCTCATGCCCAGTTAGTGACCCCTCCTTGCTCCTTCCCTCACTGACCTTAAGCTACCATTAAAAGACTTTCTATAGGGGTTGGGGATTTAGCTCAGTGAAGCACTTGTCTGGCAAGAGCAAGGCCCTGCGTTCGGTCCTCAGTTTGGTGGGGGAAGGAAGACTTTCTATATTATTTGTCTACTTTGGACTCAACCATATCATTTTTTTAATATCCCATTTTTCTTCTTAAAGGTTTTGTTTTGTTTTGTTAGAATTTAAAAAATGTATTTTAAAGTTATTTTTGTGTATGGGTGCTTTGCCTACACATATGTCTGTGCATACCTTGTGTGCCTGGTATTTGGGGATGCAGGAGAGGACATAGGGCCCCTAGAACTACAGTTAAGTATGGTTGTAAGCTGCCAAGTAGGTGCTTGAACTGAACCCAAGTTCTTTGCAAAATCAGTAAGTGCCCCTAACTGCCGGGCCTCATCTCTAGCCCCTTAAATAACTACTTCTTATATACTCTTTAGTATTAGCATTCGTTGGAACTGTCGCTAATATGCTTTATGAGCTCTGACTTGGGGAACAGGATGTCAGTGAACTGTGACAGAGGGCTTCTCAAACATCCACACCTTCAACAGCTGACCCCCTTGCACTCAAAAGCATTTTATGCAGCTCCAGGTATTTAGATATAGAATAGGTATACAAATCAAATGTTTATTTTTAATGAATCATAAAAAAAAACTTTAAAGCAATTTTTGGCATAGCATAGTTTCTTCATTTATTAAGTATAAAAGCAAGTTACACATTAAGGAGATGGCTGTGCTTGTTTATTTTTACATAAAAAATCTTGGCTAAACTATTTGATATATAGGATGTGGAATATTTTCATCATTTCTTGGAGTTCTATATGTTGATTTTATTATCACCAATGCTAAGAGAACTTTCTCATATATATACATAGCACAAAAATAGCCAAAATATGTTTAGGGTGATTATTCTGTCCTGATCTTAAGATCAACTCATTTAACAACTTTTTATGCACAAACATGTATTCAATCCCTCGCTTAAATGTTCTCTGACAAAAGTTCAGCAGGCTGTTGGGTGTGGAGGTGCATGCATTTAATCCCAGCACCTAGTAGGCAGAGGCAAGTAGATTTTGTGAGTTCGAGGCTAGCTTGATCCAGGACAGCCAGTTATATAGGGAAACCCTGTCTCGAAACATCAAGAAGAAAGAAAAGGAAAGGATAAAGAAAAAAAATTAATTGGGCTAACAATATGGCTGGACAGGTAAAGGTATTTGCCAACAAGCCTAAGTACCTGAATTCAATCCCTAACTCACATGACAGAGAGAGCACCCATTCCTGTAAACTGTCCTTGACGGTGTGTGTGTGTGTGTGTGTGTGTGTGTGTGTGTGTGTGTGTGTGTG